GAGATTTATTATACTATAACAGCGTTTAAAATATCTTTTACTTTATAAAATAAATGGGCGTGACCAATCGGACTGATACCCCACGGTTTACTCGTTTATATAGCTTCAACAACTTATAAATAACTTATGACTTTTTTACTAGTTGTAGTACTATGTAATGCTAATGACTTGGTACCGTTTGAGACATATGTATCAATAAGAACGAGAGTTGTTAACAATCTTCTTATAATCATTGTGTTAAAGATACTGCACATCTAATTTATTAATCTATCTACACCAATTCTTACTAAGAAATTTGAAGCAACATGAAATAGCACCCACGAAATTTTATTACCAAATAGTTAATCAAGAAGTACAGCTAACTTATCATGCTGTATATTTACGAATAGGGTGCTTACTCAAGTTCAGATTACATAAAGCAGAAACAATATGTCCGATCTTGGTAATCTTATGAAAATTATCAATAGCTCCTCTATAAACACCACCCAAATTAGCATAAATTTTGAGACGTTGATTAGTATTTTCAATAGCCGCTCTTGCACTATTAATGTCACGATTGAAGTTTTTGTCTTCATCTGCTAATTCACCTCTACGAGGTTTCCTTCTTGGTGTGATCACATATTCTTCACCAACGAATGCTTTGTCAGCAATACTTTGGGCAGTTTGTTCCGTATGTTCTAATAATCCTGATTCTCTAAGAATTTTAATATCATGTACACTACAATGATAAAATTCGGACACATGTAATATTCGATGAGAAAAATCACTAGCTATTTGCATTTTAAATGCGTAATTTGTTGGACTTTTTGAATGATAATATGCTTTATGTTGATCTAAATTATTAGGTTGGGAAATTGCGATGAAAGTTGATCAACTATTAATTTATGGTGTTCTTCGGGTTTATGTACTGTGGTTGTGTTAGACATATCAGCAGGTAACGAAATTAATTCTTGATATACACAGGAATGCAAAATATCCACAAACTCTGATAAGAAATAATTCACTGTTGATCGACTCAAATTTTATTTTGCAGCAATATAACGTTCGGTATGATAATGCTTCAAGTACCATAATGTAACCGCAAGCAAATTCATAGGAGATAAATATGGTGTGATTCTATTATCTCTATGTTGCTTGTTCCTATGGGAGCAATCATTTATTAGGGATATCTCCATTCCGACCACTGACGTTGTTCTACAAAATGAATGGAATGAGAGGTGCATGTGTAAACTAAGAAGAGTAATGTCACTGACCATTATCTGAAGCTTGAAACTGTTGTTGTATAGTAACTTGCTTCTGTTCCATTTTCTGTTGTGTCTTCTTCGAGTTCTGATGTACAATAACTACAGTTGTCACGATGTCGATAATAATTCGTGTATCAACCAGATTTTCCCGAACCAATGCATGTCCAAGTTAACATTGATTGGCAGTTGGTACAGTACTTTCGGTGATCGTTCGTGATAGATTGACATTCAGAACAATCCCATTCAATTTGTGGAGAAAACATATATTACAAAGATGTAACCCTCTGTGCTTGAGTGAAAATATGTTAAAGAAAATGAAGAACAAAGGAAATCAAGACAAAAAGTGGTAGTGTGAACAAGGATGATATNTTGAAATTTTAAATAGCTGTATTTTCAATAACTATGTGAAATTTTAAATTGCTATAGGGAACTTTAGATAGCTGCAGTGGTTTAAATAGCCGAAACACTTTAAATAGCTATGATTTTTTTAAGTAGCTGTACCTCTTGTAAATAGCTATATGTGTAATTATAAAGTATCTCTTTTGAGAATATTTATACTTTTTTAAATAGCTATAGCTTTTTTAAATAGCTATATACTTAATTAAAAAGTATCTCTTTTGAGAAGCTACGCTATAAACACCACCCAAATTAGCATAAATTTTGAGACGTTGATTAATATTTTCAATAGCCGCTCTTGTACTATTAATGTCACGATTGAAGTTATTGTCTTCATCTGTTAATTCACCTCTACGAGGTTTCTTTCTTGGTGTGGTCACATATTCTTCACCAACGAATCCTTTGTCAGCAATAATTTGGGCAGTTTTTTCTGTATGTTCTAATAGTCCTGATTCTCTAAGAATTTTAATATCATGTACACTACCATGACAAAATTCGGATACATGTAATATTCGATGAGAAAAATCACAAGCTATTTGTATTTTAAATGCGTAAATTGGTGGATTTTTTGAATGATAATATGCTTTATGTTGATCTAAATCATTAGGTTGGGAAATTGCGATGAAAGTTGATCAAATATTAATTTATGGTGCTCTTTAGGTTCATGTACTGTGATTGTGTTAGACATATCAGCAGGTAACGAAGTTAATTCTGGATATACGCAGGAATGCAAAATATCCACAACCTCTGATAAGAAATAAATCACTGTTGATCGACTCAAATTTAATTTTGTAGCAATATAACGTTCGGTATGATAATTCTTCGAGTACCATAATGTAACCGCAAGCAAATTCATAGGAGATAAATATGGTGTGATTCTATTATCTCTATGTTGCTTGTTCCTATGGGAGCAATCATTTATTTGGGATTGTTCACATACAGAATACAGTTCCTGTACTTGTTCGACGTCATGCCCGGTTTGTTGTACACAAGACTCATTAGTACATATCCATTCCGACCACTGACGTTGTTCTACAAAATGAATGGAATGAGTGGTGCATGTGTAAACTAAGAAGAGTAATGTCACTTACCATTATCTGAAGCTTGAAACTGTGGTTGTATAGCAACTTGCTCCTCTTCCATTTTCTGTTGTCTGTCTTCTTCGAGTTCTGGTGTACAATAACTACCGGTATCACGATGTTGATAATAATTCGTGTATCAACCAGATTTTTCGGAACCAATGCATGTCCAAGTTAACATTGATTGGCACTTGGTACAGTACTTTTGGCGATCAGTTGTGCTAGATCGGCATTCAGAATAATCCCATTCAATATGTGGAGAAAACATATTACAAAGATGTAACCCTCTGTGCTTGAGTGAAAACGTGTTAAAGAAAAGGAAGAACAAAAGAAACCAAGACAAAAAGTTGTAGTTTGAATGAGGATGGTAGAACTAGAACACAAAAATACGATAGAATGAATGAAATCTTATCGCCCACGAAATATATACCGAGAACGACATGTTAGTAAATCAGATGTACAGTATCTTTAACACAATGATTATAAGAAAAATACTTAACCCTTTCCAGCCGGCTACCAGAAGACAGATAGCAAAGAAATCTTTTCCTGCATCACTGTAGTTCCCTCACCATGGGGATAGGAAAAGTGTGTTCTTCGGAACAGAAAAGTTCNCATTCTTAGAGTAAATCCAGGTGCAGAGTTCAAACTTGAGCTTAGTTCGGTCCCATATCCTATTGGTTTGGCGACGCGGAATATAAATCAACATTTTAAATGGTAGATTTCACAGTATAATTTTGATATTCAGATAGTCTAGGATGATTGATTGTATGATTTACTTTTTGAAGTACACATAACTCTCGGATTTAAATCCGAAGTTTCCGCATTTATTTATTTAATAGAATTAACCTTGTTTTCAATTTTTGAGACCATTCAAATATATATCAGAAAAGTTATGTATTCAGACTTAATCGTGGCATTTGAAATGTATTTTGAATGAGATTTATTGTACTATAACAGCGTTTAAAATATCTCTTATTATATAAAATATATGGACGTGGCCAGTCGGACTGATATCCCTCGATTTATTTGTTTATATAGCTTCAACGACTTATGAATAACTTACGACTTTTTTACTAATTGTAGTACGTATATAATACTAATGATCTGGTACCGTTTGAGATATATGTATTAATAAGAGCGAGAGTTTTTAAGCATTTTCTTACAATCATTGTGTTAAAGATACTGCACATCTAATTTATTAGTATACACCAATTCTTACTAAGAAATTTGAAGCAACATAAAATAGCAGCAAAAAAAAATTATTATCAAATAGTTACTCAAGAAGTATAGCTATCTTATCATGTTGTATACTTACCAATAGGGTACTTACCCAAGCTCAGATTACATAAAGCAGAAACAGCATGTACGATTTTGGTAATCTTATGAGGATCATCACAAGCTTCTCTGCAAACACCACCCAAGATAGCATAAGTTTTGAGACGTTGATTAATATTTTCAATAGCCGCTCTTGTATTATTAATGTCACGATTGAAATTTTTGTCTTCGTCTGTTAATTCACCTCTACGAGGTTTCTTTCTTGGTGTGATCACATATTCTTCACCAACGTATCCTTTGTCAGCAATAATTTGGACAGTTTCTTCCGTATGTTCTAGTAGTCCCAATTCTCTAAGAATTGTAATATCATGTACACTATCATGATAACATTCGGATATATGTACTAGTCGATGAGAAAAATCACAAACTATTTGTATTTGAAATGTATAATTAGTTAGACTTTTGGAATGATAATATGCTTTACGTTGATCTAAGTCATACGGTTGGGGAATTGCGATGCAAGTTGAATCTACTATTAATTTATGATGTTCTTCAGGCCCATGTACTGTGGTTCTGTTAGACATATCAGCAGGTAATGAAATTAATTCTGGATATACACAGGAATGTAAAATATCCACAGCCTCTGAGAAGATATAATTCACTGTTGATCGAATCAAATTTAATTCTATAGCAATATAACGTTCGGCATGATAATGCTTCAAGTACCATAATGCAACCGCAAGCAAATTCATAGAAAATAAATATGGTGTGATGGTACTATCTCCTTGTTCCTTGCTCTTATGGGAGCAATAATTTACTAGTGATTGTTCACACATAGAATACAGCTATTGTACTTGTTCGACGTCACGCCCGGTATGTTGTACAAAAGATTCACTAGTACGCCTCCATTCTGACCACGGACGTTGTTCTACAATATGAATAGAGTAAGAGATGCATGTGTAAACTAAGAAGAGTAATGTCACTTACCATTATCTAAAGCTTGAAACTGTTGCTGAATAGCAACTTGATTCTTTTTCATTTTCTGTTATCTATCTTCTTCGAGTTCTGATGTATAATAACTACAGTTGTCACGACGTCGATAATAGTTCGTGTATAAATCAGATTTTCCTGAACCAATGCATGTTGAAGATAATATTGATTGGCGGCTGGTACAGCACTTTCGGCGATCATTCGTACTAGATCGAAATTCAGAATAATTTCAATCAATTTGCGGAGAATACATATTACAAAAATTTAACTCTCTGTGCTTGAGTGAAAATGTGTTAAAGAAAACGAAGAACGAACGAAATCAAGAAAAAAAGTGCTAGTGTGTACGAGGATGATATCACTGGAATACAAATATACAATAGAATGGATGAAATCTTATCGTGCACGAAATATGTACCGAGAACGAGATGTTAATTCATTAGATGTGCAGCATCTTTAACACAAGGATTATAAGGAAAAACTTAACAACTCTCGTTCTTATTGATACATATATCTCAAACAGTACCAGATCATTAGCATTGTATACATACTACAACTAGTAAAAAATTCATAAGTTATTCATAAGTCGTTGAAGCTATATAGAAGAATAAGGCGTGGGGTATTAGTCCGACTGGCCACGCCCATATTATTTTTTGATCGATTACACTTGAGCAAAAAAATCATGACTGTAAGAACTTTTATTATGACCGCTCTAGTATCAATTCAATATCAAACCGAAAATACTAGGGCATCAGTTGTAAGAAAGTAATGACGGTGAAAATGGCTTCAATCACAGTCTCTTCAGTATTCAAATGTGAAAGATAACGCAGCTATTTACATTGTAAATGCAGAATTTTATCAATACACTTCACTTCTATAGTGCTATCTAACATTAGAGCATGCCGATGATGAAATTGTTAATCAAAATATGTTACAATGAGTGTGAAAAAATAATAAAGCTCATGCATGTTAAACTCGTTCGTATTTCACACTAATCCAGTAGTAGACTTCAGTTACGTCAGTAGTTTCGTTATGATCTGTGACGTTTTCATGGTGTCATCTGCCACGGTCGGTGTATTGGGGAAGGTTTCAAATTTCTACTTCTGTACTTCAGTGTTCCTTCTGAATCATATTTCGAAAAATGCCATCACAACTGTACAATACTTTAAAAGTAAGCCTGTTTAGCGTTTATAGTTATGCGAGAATATAAATATTTAAGCTCGCCACATGGCTGCACAGATTGTGTCATTAAAGTTGGATAGTATAAATGAATGCTACAACAATAATTTGCCTCCCTGTAGACATGATGCAGATGCATGCCTCTGTACTAGGAGTATCGTATTCGTGTTCCTAGGAATGGAAACGCATGATAGTCTCACGTAAAGAAGATAAGCAAAAGTTTATAAACACATCAGTATATTTTAAAATTGCTAGAAAGCGCAGCATGGCACGTATTAAATGTGTCCTCGTTCCTTGGAAAATGAACGGTAGAGAGCGAAAACACTGACACCTCTTTTCTATATTTTGTATAATATAACTAAAGTACCCGTCTATTATGTAAATAAAAAATGAAATTAACACAAAACGGAGGCTTAAAAGTTTCACAAAACTATCAAGATCGAAATGGAAATTGAAGAAGCAAAAAAACTGAACAGTATACCTTGCAGTGAAACTGAGTGGCATTTGCAATGAATAAATGAACGAAGTCTGTGATTGCGGAAGATCGAACATGATCATAAGAAAGGTAATTGTGTTTCAAGTAACAAATCATTTGACTATAAGAATAGAAATAAAAGTCTGAAATGATCGCAAAATATACATCTTTTGAGTGTTTCAACGAAAAATAGACTTGTAAGTAAAAGATTCAATGGTTTTGTGTCACAAGATCGCAGCTTATTCAAAATAGTTAGAATTGGTTAAAGATATTTTATTTTGTCGTATGGATGTACAGGATAAACTAAATAAACAATTTATTAACTAGTAAATATATTTACTTTACTTATTTACTTTTTTTAAAAAGTAAAAGTAAAGTGCCACCCCTGTTTAGAAGAGTTCACTAACAGCATAAAAGTTGAAGTTGTGAGATCATAAAAAAGAAATTCGAAAATCTCGAAAAGCTATATAGAGATTCCACTTCGTCGGTTCCGAAAACTTGTTATCGAGTTTTAATTTGCAAATCGTTATTTTCATCAAATGTGCGTTTCTGCTGAAGAAAAAATATATTGGAACAGTAGTGTTTGTTCGCAAACCATTTATGCTCTAAATTTGCTGTTATGCATCACCTGGAACTATTCGAACTCAATATTAAAACCATCCTCCCTTAAAATCGATTCGGGCTGAAGTAAATTCAAATTGCATAAAACTGTTAGAATATGTTTGCGCTGTAATCGAGAGGGTACGCTAAAATTTTCAGCCATACACCATAGGGTTTTCGGAAGACATGTATTAAACAAGGATCAAAAATAGCTGATATGATCTCGTAAAGTTCTCTCTGGTCCTGCATTCAGTATTCTCAAGTTTTTCTTGTGAAGTAGCATGCTAGTATGCAGTGCCTGTCGAAGCCCCTTTGTTTTTTCGAATTCGTATCTTTTTTGAGAAGGAAAACAATAACGGTTCGATACCCCAAAGCTCCAAAAATTTAGGACTTTTAACAATTTTGGAAAACTGCGGAGGCATCGAATTCTAATCCTTTTTCTTCTCAGAAAAAAGAAGAATTCAAAAAAGCACTTGAGTCGGTACTGTAGTCTTACATGCGCTTTCAAAGAATGAATTTTAAAATCCATAATGATGGCTCAGAGACATTTCTATGAAAACACCATGGTGTAGGACGACAAATTTTAGCGTATCCTTTTTATAGAAGTCTCAACGTGTTCCAAGAAATGTCATGAGATTTGAATGCACTCCGTCCAAATCAACTGTAACGAGAGAGAGGGATTTTCAGTTCAGTGATCCGTTAAGCGTTAATATGAACGAATGAAGTGATGCCTGCCATTTGTGTTTTTGTTGACACTAATCTTCAGGTAGAACTGCTTAAGGTTTACGCTAATAAAGTGAGTAGCTGTCTAATCGGAGTTCAAAAATAAATGAAAATTTTCAACGCAAACCCCCTTTTTTATCCAAAAGCAAGAGTTAAGATTGAATTCGAACCCGAATTGTTAGCTCTCATATGTATAGAACGAAAGAGACAAGCAGTGCCACTGATGTTATGTGATAGAACGATGAAAAAGATGACCTTCGTGGGAATCGAACCCACACCTCCTACTATCCGGGCAGTTATCCTAAGCCAATTAGACTAGAAGGCGCATCTTAATCATCGTTTAGCGTCCAAGTGATTCATCATGGACGCTAACACGAATTGAGACTAGATGGTTGTCTAATTCTGACTGAGAGCGAGAAAAGAAAATATCCGGATCATAATTCTTTATAAACTCAGTTTCTTTGCCCAACTATAGGTACCATCAGCAATACTTCAAGAATTAATTGAGATTATAGACTTTTCATCTTTCAAGCTAAGGCATAAAGTTAGATGCTACAGAAATTACCTGAGATGCTACGGATATGAAAGTCGCGTTTTCAGGACAGCCGCTCGCTCACCGTTGGAGGCCTTTTGAGATATTTCGGTTCTCTTGGGAAGACACGACTGTAACGACAAACTGGATGACTTGCTTACCGCTACCATCGGTAATGATGTTTATTGAGCTACTTTACACATCCAGAGTGTGTCTATTTCATATTCAACACAAGCTTATATATGATAGAGAAATAAAGAGAGAGAGACGACACAGGGAGAACAATAGAGAGAGGAAGAGGAAAGAGAAAACAAGAAGAGCAGCGAGCCATGACGTATATATCGGCACAACGGCTTCAAAGAAAACACTGCTCATCTCCAAGGACGCCTGGAGAGAAATGGGTAACATGCCTGACTAAGGGGGCAAGAAAAGTATTCAGAAAATATTTAAAAAATGGAATGCTTATTTGATGCTTTAATGTCGGCATCAATTAACTGGAATCTTAGACAGTGTGACACCCAAAATCTCGATTATTACTGCCGATACATTAGCAGTTTTTTTCCAGAAATATTGGTGGTTACAAGCAGTCAACATTTCCTATTACTGTGTACACAGAGATGAGTAAGGAACGTGACTCTTCGTGGGGCGCTACGCCAAAATGAAAGGTCAGTTGTACGAGGGAAAAGCGCTTCTATGTACTGGGCACTCATGAAAACAGTTTCCAGTTGGCAGAAAAATGAGAATAAGAGATTCATCACCACGATAAGAAGTAAGCCTACGAGAATTCCTGCTCATGATTTTAGATCCAGAGAGCTAAAGAAGTTTTGCAAAACATGAGCTCAGTTCAACAGAACTGTTCGCACGGTTGTTCAGATCTAAGCTACACTGCTCAGGAAATCAACTCTGATAGGAATGTCGCCTACGATGCTATATTCATCATCGAGAATGCTGGTGGCATTACCTTAGGTGCTATTGATTAGCAGTATCAAAGGTGAAAGTTGAATTTAACTGTTGACGGCGTTCTCAACTATTCAATAACTAAATCAT